CCACCCCCCAGCTGGCAGGGGAATTCTGGGCATTGAAGTCCACACATCTTCAAGTTGCCAAGGTTGAGAAACACTGCTCTAGCCTTTGGAAAATGAAGACTGATAAGCTGTGTTGGCCTACTAAAGATTCCTGCCTACCCCAGGTGAACGTGTTTTTATTTTTCTTTGCCACAGGTCTGGATGGAACAAATCTTCTAGGATGTTGCTCCTGTGCTTGTGGGTATTTTTGGGGAGACCATCTGTTGCATTCCTCCACCTCCCAGTTCATGTTCAACAGCACAGTTAGTTCTGGGAAGCCTTAAATACATTTGGGAATCGCACATGACGAGGAAAAAGCAAGAGAAATGCAGGGTGGCAGTAAGTACTTGGGGGAATTATTTGAAACTCAGACAGATGGTGCTGTGTCAGAGCTCACTGAAAACGAGTTCAGCCAAACAGTTATTGCACGCCTGTTGATTTTTGAAATAGACCATTAAACATCCTCGGGCCTGTGCCTGCTGGTGTCTTCAATTATTTAAATACTATCATTTATTGTTTAATCTCTGAGGAAAAAATATATTTCTCCTCCAAAATGCAAAATTTATTATAGAGTCAAATATGTCAGAGGATGAAATCATCCCCAAGCTGGCATCTTTCACATGCTGGCTAGAATGTTGTAGTCCCAGAACATCTGGAAGATGCTGGTTTGGGGATGGCTAGATAAGATAAAAAAATGTCCAAGACATGGAATATATATATTAATGACCAAAGCTTTTCAGGTGTGACACCTACTTACTAACCTGAGACAGAAAGCCGAGAGGGCATGAGCTGCTGCTTTGCAGAAGGAAATGCCTCTTTGGACTCTGGGAGCCTCGTCTTCCCACTTTTCTATTTATTTAATAAATAGCAAATAATAATAATTCATTTTTGACAGGTAATTATAAAGAGGTGATAAGAGATATTACTTCCCAAATTATAACATTTCTGGCTCTGAAACATTTTTATCAAAATAGATGTTTTTGAGATCAACGAATGTTAAGTACAATTATCCTCCCAAGTTAACATATCTCTTATTATCTTTGTACCTAAATTCTCTTTAAAATTCTCTCACTTTCAGATAACTGTTGTCTAAGAAATTCATCTTAAGATTATAGTTCTTTAAACTTCATGGATTATTCTAGTGTTTCAACATTAGGAAAGCAATTTTGGCTTCCCAAGTTTCTTTGCAAAGTTGGTTGCATCTCATAGTATCTTCTCATTACCTCAAATGTATTACTACAACACCCTATTATGGTATTTCAGTTAATTAATTTGTATAAGATTTCATAACAGAACATCTTATTAGTGGTTTCTCAACAGCAGTTCCTAGCCCTTCCTATGTAGTATTTCTCAACACATGTCATTATATGGTTTAATATTTGCAATGCTCACATAGATTGTTATTCTCACTCAAGATAGTGAATGATAGTAAGTCCAATCATTATTTTAGTATTTTGGGTTTACCTACATAGTCTGATTTATTAGGTTGTAGATTTCAGTGGACAAAAATGAGAAAAAAATACATTGATACAGAATGTAGTGAGAGGAAAGTTGGAGGAGCTCAAACGAATGGCCTGCTAACAGGTCTCTCAGTCTTAAACTGGAACCTGCATGCACCTTTTCCAATTCTACGGTGTCAATTTTATGATACAATGAACACAACTGTTCACATTATTTTTATACAGGTAGTCCTCATTTAGCAACTGACTCCTTTAGTGATCATTCTCAGTAACAAAAGTGATTAAAAAGTAACTTTGCAACACTCCTTGCATTTATGACCTGCAAAGTATTGACAGTTTTAAATTCTGGAAATGATCCTCATTTTGATGGGGCTGTTGCTTCCATCTCAATGCCGGACTTGGGTTGGGTTATGTTTTCCCAGATTTAAGTTAATGTTTCTGCCTTAACTTATAGATGCTTAAATAACATGAGAGGAATTTCCATATTAATGTACATACAAAGTCACTCCTGCAGCTTTGGTCTGGTTTCTATCCTTGCTTTTGGTGGAACAATGTTTGCATGAGCAGTAGCTTACCTCTTTGCCTTTGATAGGCTACAATTGATTCCTAGGAAAGGTCGGTCATGGATGAACGCAGCCTTGTGCTCAGCTTGGAATTGTGGCCATCTGCTCAGAAGGGCCAAATGAATAGAAGTGAGTACCGTGCAAGACAGAAGATTACTGGGTTAGCGTGCAACCTTCTGATAAATTTGTTTTGTAAGTGACACGCCCATCATTGCACCTATTACATAAGAACGTCCATGACGTGCTCTCAAAATACCAGATGTTCCCACCAGCTAAAAAAAGTTTGCCTACCCACGTCTTGCAGCACTGACCCATATTTGAATGCTTTTCTGTACACATGTGACTTTCTTTCCTTCTTTCAAACATATGTTATTCTTTCTGCCCTAAAAACATGCCAAATGTCTTGTTAAGAAATGAATGGATTCTTTAAAGCCCATTAAAAAGTTTAAGTGAGCTGAAACTACCCATTTTTCTTCTTGAAAGGCAGTAGGAGATAGCAGATCTAACATGTTGGGGAGGTTGACAGATACCCAAATAGCACTGAATGGATTACATGTATGCTAAATCCCAGAATTTATGAGAAAGATGCTGAAAGTATGGCTGTGTTTTATTTATTTATTAAATTTATATGGCCGTCCATCTCACTTGCATGTGACTCTGGGCAGTGTGCACCGTTAAAACATAAGTAAAATCTTAGTCTTCCATCATTAAAGACAATTAAAAAATTAAAAGCTACATTTAAAAATACAATAATAAAAAGACAGAGAGTTCACTCTAACTATACAATATAACCATTTAATGGGTTCCACACTTCCTTGGGATCCCCAAGCCTGATGGCACATCCAGGTTTTGAGGGCCTTCCAGAAGGCTGGCAGGGTTGGGGCGAATCTCACGTCGGGGAATGATGTTCCAGAGGGCAGGTGCTATGGCAGAAAAGGCTCTCTTTCTGTATCCTGCCAAATGAAGCTTCTTGGCTGAGGGACCCACAACATGCCCCTTCTGCCAGACCTGAGAGGATGGGTAGAGATAATTGTGGAGAGGCAGTTCCTCAAATAACCTGGCCCCACGCCATGTAGGGCTTTAAAGGTCATCACCAGCACTTTAAATTAGACCCAGAAACAAACTGGCAGCCAATGCAGCTTGCAGAGCAGAGGTGTGACGTGTGCGTTTCTTGAAGCACACATAACTGCCCACACCGCTGCATTTTGTACCAGTTGAAGTTTTCAGATACTCTTCAAGGGCAGCCCCATGTAGAACACATTACAGTAATCCATTCAGAAGGTAACAAGGGCATAAGTAACTAAGAGTAGTGCCTCTCTACTCTTTTTTAATGTTTGCCTCCCTCCTCTTTTAATGTTCATGTAGTTTTTCCTTCTGCACAGTATGTACAGTATATGTTTTTATTTCTGTTTTTTGTCATACTTAACTTCAAGGTTGAATTGTATTAGTGAGTAATGTCAATTGAAAATAAAAAAGATTCTTCCTGGAATAATCATGTGGGTGATCTCAGCTAGTTATAGAGTGAACAGAATGGCTGTGCTGTGAGGTTATATCAGTCAAGAAGAGCTAGAGGATAGCTTCATTGTAGTAAATTAAGTCATTTGAGAAAAAGAACATGAAATAGAGCATACAGCCATTGGTATTTTGAAATGATATTGAACTGCAATTCTAGTAGCTGAAAATGGAGGTAGCAAACAGAGCAAATTAACTCTGTGCATATCTAGTGTTGTCTCTGTAAAAGAACATGAAATAGAGCATACAGCCATTGGTATTTTGAAATGATATTGAACTGCAATTCTAGTAGCTGAAAATGGAGGTGCCAAACAGAGCAAATTAACTCTGTGCATATCTAGTGTTGTCTCTGTGTGAATTTAATTTGGTGGCTATTGTAACAGTAGAAGATAAATAGAAGGCTAGCAGAAAATAATGGCTGCAAAATTTGACAATTACTAATTATACAGACAGTTGCAGTTGTAATGTACATGTATTTGGGAATGTATGTCGTTATATACTTATTTGTAAATAGTTAGACAAATGTTCAGTACCACTGATAAAGCCAGACTACAGAGCACAGGTGTGGGCCCCAGCTGGCTGAAAGACCCTCTATTCTTTTCTTTTTATGTTATAATGAAATTAGCTATGCTGCAGATAATCACACTTATTATTTATAGTTCCAAGAAATGCAAACTGGGAATAAAGATGGCAGGCACAAGTATCTGAATGATGCTTTTTCTGTCAATAAATTAGATTTGCTAGAGCACTGACTGGCCACTATTGAAAACAAAAAATTAGTCCAGAGAGAACTTGATAACTCAACAATTTTCATTTTGCTAGGTTTTATAAATTAAGGATGATTGATAGAGAGTGAGAGACAAAGACAGATGCTCAGAAATCTAGATCAGATAGTAAAATAATGTGTGAAACCTCCACTGTATTATTCAACATATTGTTCAACTTAATTATATTTGTGTCCTTTGCTGACCAGAAATTCCAATCTTTTCACACTAATGTTTGCTTCTGCAGTCTTAAAAGAAGCAGCCCAGGACAACTGCAATTACCCATGGATGGAGGTAACTATTTTCTGCATTTCTTGGAACTGAAAGGTTATTTTTTTCTTCCTGGAAGTATTATCTTTTTTCGAGAAAGAAACAGCAAGACTGCCATGTGTACACAGTGTGAAGTAAGACAAGAAGTGATGTTATACAATATTTTTAATTTCTGTGCTAGAATGTCTCTTTCTTAGTTAAATATAATTT